CCCCCCCCCGGCTAGCTACTACATCCAATGCCCTGATACTGCATGACAGGTATAAGGCACATGCTCTGTGTGCAAGCACTAGGGCGGAGAGGGGGAATCAGCAAGTTAAATATACCCAGAAACAGGTCTGACAGAGGAGGCACCAAAATGTGTGCTGGCCAGGTTATACATGTGTAATAAGCATACACATAATGTACTTATTTAACATTTCCATATTACAGATTTGGGGCTTCTGCTCAAGCTCTTCCTCAACACAACACTTTGTTCTAACAACCTGGCCTTCTGTGATGCTCACCCTCCCCGCACAATCGCTGAAGACAAAACAGGTGCACAAGCAAATGTGGTGAAGAAAGCTGATGGTGCCTGGCTATCAAAAGATAGAGCATCTGGGGTCTTAAAGGCTTGAAGATAAACAAGTGGCCATCTAGCTCAGAAGCAACAAAGCCCACATAGAAGAAGCATACCAGTCTGTGCAATCATGAGGTGTTGAGGGGATCAGGTCAGAGGCACCAGAAGACCCCAAACAAACAAAAAACATATTGAGAACAAATGAGGGGGGTTGGAGCAGAGACCCAAAACTCAAGTATACATAATGGGCCATCCTATCACAGAAGTGTCTCAAGGAAGGGATTAGTCAACCAGCATGGATGAACCACACAATATTCCTCTGGTTCCTTGAGGCTTCTTCACCCTCCACTATCATGACCCCAGTCCTGCCTTTCACTGTGGACTAGTTCAGAGCATGTGCACAGGTACAGGTAAGAGCTCAGGACACACGGAATCCAGGTCAGATCAACCCCTCAAGAACAGAAATGGGAATAGTGGTACCAGGAAGGTAGAGGGAGGTAGAGAGAGGAGAGGGGAAGAAACCATGGGGGGAGATAGCAGTCGGTGTAAGATATGAAAATAATAATTTACAATTCATCAAGGGGTCACCAGGGGGAAAAGGGAGGAGAGTAAAAAGAGGGACTCGTATCAAATAGAAAGTCAATGTTTAGAAAATAATAATGACAACATATGTACAAATATACTGGATACAATGGATGGATTGGTAAAAGAGCTGTAAGAGTCCCCAATAACATGATCAATTAAAAAATTTCCATATTAATTCTGAGTGAAATATTTCCCCAATGATCCCTACTTTTAAAATCCAGTGACACTGCTCCTCCTCATGTGGTACGCCATTACCGTGACCCCCTGTTACTCCACCACCGTTCACGCAGACTCGGTGTCCCGGGCAGAGTTCTCCTCCATGTGCCCTATTGTCACCGTCGGCTTCTAAGAGCCCAGCACCGCCGCGACCTGGGGCATGACTCTAAGACACCGAAGCGCTCGTTGGGGGCCTGAAGTTACTGCCACGCCTCCCTCTTTTAACTACGGTGTGCTCCTCACTGTACTAAGCACGCTAAGTCGGTTGTAAATCAAAAGCGGGTGCTATTCGCAGCTTACATGGGGAAACTGAGGCTGCAAAGGTAAATACAGAAATTGCAGCACAGCAGCAAAGCTGGGATTCAAACCCAGCCAAATTCCAAATACCACACAGCCAGTCCCTTCTCGCTGTACCAGTCCGATTGGCAGAAAGAGTTGTCCCGGGACCCACCAGAAGCCCTCAGCTTATGAGAGAAGTCCGCCTGTCCTCAGAGCCCTGCAGAGAGCACCATCCTTTCAGAGCTGTTAGATGCCTGCACCTGTCTTCTCCCCAACTGAGCTTGAAGGCAGAGTCCAATTCTCAGTCCTCCTAGTCTCCCTGACGTCCTTCAACAGGCGTTGAGTTGTCAATACAGAAACTATGGTTTGAGATATGTGCCCAAGTTGCATTGAGAAAACATTCTACAAAGGAAGAAAGTGTTTAAGGTCACAGGTCAAGACGGAGCCATCCTGGCAAATTGTTGTGGTCCTCGAGCTGAACCGCAGCTGCGGGCAGGACAGAGCACGACAGCCTGCTGGGTTTGCTGGGCTGTCAGCTACAGGGCGGCCGGCGGCCGGCTTCTCCTCCGCAGAGCTGCTGGTGGAGCCCTGGCACAGACCTCTCTGTCCGTCGTCAGCCAAGCACTCACAAGGACTGGGTTTCCAAAGCGAGTCTTTTTAGTTTCCTTAAATATGAAATCCCCCATTTGAATGCAATCAAGTGCCTTCTTTTAGATATGTTCGAATTGAATAGGGAGTGTTAAAAGCAGGGCATAAGATATCCACGTGCATACAAATCTGCCACCCCCCGCAAGAGAAAGGCCCTCCGGGAAGCGTCCTGCACACCAAACCTTGACCAGCTGGCTGGCTGGCTGCACGCCCAGTTCCTCATCGTGTGCCTGGCACATGGTTGGCACTCAAACCCTGACTGGATGGGACGGTCCAGCACCAAGCTTGAGTCCGCATTAGCCTTTTCCCGCACTGGGTTTGGCTCTTTGGTTTATGGGTTGCAAAGTCACTGTTCTGACCTCGTTCCCCCGACATGCCCTGTTCCGGGAAGTGTATACGAGAGGGAGCCTGACGTGTGAGGGCGGATGCTCTTCACATCCGAACTGCAAGTCACAGCAGAGTGACTGCAGGTGCGGACATCAGAAACTAGCTGTCTTCTATTCATTAAAACATTACAGAGATTTGCAAAAACATAAAACAATGCGGGCTCTTGTGATATTTTGACTTACAAATATAATGTCACTATTTTAAATGAATGAATAATGTTCACTTAAGAATACAGCTATACTCTAAAATCTATAAAGTTTTACGACTGTGTAAATTCTGCATTGGATGCAGGTTCACGATGTTGGCTCAGCGTTTGGATCATTGCAATGTGGTTCTGAAAGATGTCAGGTAACGACTGCAGCAATAACATAAGGGGCATAGGGAAGCTCTATCAATTGTACAAATTTTGTTTTAGAAATCTAAAATTGTTTCAAGGGGAAGTTAAAAATGAAAATTTAAGCTAGGTATACTTACTGCACCCAGCGATGGCCCATATCTTCCTGTGGCGACTTTACACACATAGCTGACAAAATTGGAGATCACACCTGAGGAGTAAGCCGCATGTCAATAATTTAAGTTAGGTGCAAGACGGTTTCCATGTCTGATCCCACTTGTGCACCCCCCGCCCGGCGAGACTGACAGTGTCAGGTTTCTATCTGGCTCAATGCGAGGGTGAGGCGCCAACACTTGGCCCGCAAACACACCCACACTCACCCGAGAAGGAAAAGTCTGACACGGTGCCATCGGCCACTCACTCTGCCTCAGTATCACTGCCCCTTGTCTGTGAAACGAAGGGAACTGGTTCCCACAGTCGCCCACTGTCTCCAAATGTTCTGGCTGCCTCAGGCACACTTAAGTGCCATCTCCAGGTGAGACCCTAGAATGGACATCTATCTACCCAGCTGCACAGCCGGCCGGAGTGACCCCAGATGAGACAGATGACCCCGTGCAAGGCCTTTGGCACCACTGTCACTTGAGGTGGACCTCCACCTGTGTGTGACTCATTTTTAAAAGACCATTTCCTGTGCTGCAGGGATTAATGGCATGTAAGAATGAACACTTTGTACCCACAACCGAACTAATGCTTGGATGGATTACACACTGACCTTACAGGCCCAAGACATGGTTCAGCTTCTACTTTTGAGGGAGTATGAGCACATGAATATTCAATTTCCACTGAGTACCCACTCTGGGCCTGTGGTCAGCACTTTATTCAATTCTTTCACAGTCCTTGTCCTGAGACGGTCAACCCAGTACCCCTCTTGCAACAACACACAGAAGTAGTAGAAGCAGGTTTAGAACCCAGCTCTGGGGCCTCCAAGCTCAGCGCTGTCTTCACAATGGGTCAGGGGCCAGATACACTGACTCTAGATGGAGGGATCCTAAGGATACATTTCTATACTTTTTTGCTTTAAGTAACTTTGGAAACAAACATTATCTGAGTTTTTAAAGGCATCTCCTGTTTTTCTCTTCTATTCAACTACATCTATATGTATCTTTTACTTGGATTAAACTATGCTAGGATTTACTTACTGTATTTATTTACCGATATAAGTAAAACTTGACCAATGAACCAATCCGGCAGCATCCAGGGCCCTGGAATTGTGCCCCATCTTCAGGACCTAGCCTAAGAAGGGGGCCGTGCTTCTGTACCCATTTTTACAGGCTGGTGAAAATGACGGATAAGCTCACTCTTGACAATGTCCGTGGCTAGCTCTGTGCTCATTCTTCCTTCCTCAGCGGACACTCGACACATCTGAGACAGTCTGGAAGTCTGGGAAGCACCCGTCTGTGAGACGGCAGGGCAAACCCAAGAAGCCAGGTCCCGAGAGAGCGAAGGCTGTGCTTCGGGTCGAGGATCCTGACTAGAACTAGGCATATCCAGCAGACAACTGGCTCACGTAAGCGGAGCTCAGCAAAGGGAGACACGGGCAAGACGTGCACCGCCCCCCCCCCCCCCAATCTACGACACTTCCCAGCATGCACCTGCAGGAACATGTGTGCCCTGAGCACATGCCGGGGTAGGGGTCAGGCTGTGTCACCCCAGACAAGGGAGAGGGCGTGTGTGCCGCAAGGCCCCGGTTAAGGTGAGAGTGATTACCTGCTGAGAGGTACACCGCCATGAACTGCTCCTGACCCAGAATATTGACTATGCTGGAGGAGAAGCTCCATAGGACATACATGTTGGCGGCCATGTGGAACAAGGAGAAGTGACTGAACGTGGACAGCAACATGGGGGAACACAGGACCTCTATGAGAGAGAGAAAAGCATACTGGTGCTCATGGACACGTGGCAGTACTGAGCACCCATGTTAGTGTGCTGTCTTTTCATTGTTAGTACAGCAAGTCAAGCTGAAGAAACAAATAGTCAATTCAAAGCCAAATTAAAGCATTTTCAGAGCGGTTAACAGTTATCTTACATTTCATTCTAATTAGTATAAGACTATATAGAAATGCACTTACGCAGCCAATAAAAGTTCTCAGTTCCATGAAAACAACTTGTCTTTAATAGCATAAGTTCATTAGAAAAATGTGTTATTTTCATTACAGATATGAAATTACATATAATATTCTTTTCAGAGACAAATGCATGTGGAGACCACAGATCTGAATTCATTAAAAATGTTTAAATTCTGCAAATGTGGAAACAGCATGAGAGCTGTTTCCGGCACTGGGGGCCGGCAGTCAGGAAGCTGGGAGGGCTGTCCTCCAGGGCGCACAGCCTTTCCTCAGGGGGCTCAGAGGGGCTGACAGGGGCCACTTTGCTGTCCACAGCATGGGCATGAATACACAGACTGCTTCTTTCACATGACAGCGACCACACAATGAAGCCACGCAGTGGCCTGGACTTACTGGAGGCGGGATTGGACGTGAAGTATCTGACCATGGTCCGCTGCAGAGAAGGGACACGCCACAGGCAGAACACGACGGCGTTTGCTGCGATGATGCCTGGAAGACAGACGCGCACGGTCTCAAGAGGTTCAACGTGCAAAGGAAAGCAGGCTTGGCGTCAGCTTGAACAAGAGTCCCTGCCACACACCTGCGAGCCAGCTAATGCTCGTGGCTGGGAGAGTATGCACACGAGCCGAGGAAAGTCCCTGAAAGCAGTCCTCCGCAGTTCTCAAACTACCACTGGTTGGAACAGTCAAGAATTCACTGGGCAAATGCTCTCGGATGGGGCTTCCTTCACCCAGGGCTGTACTTTACGAAACAGTTTCTTTTTCCCAATAAAGAGGAGTCAGGGTTCTAACTCCTGATAACGGCCGAGCCACAGGCAGGCTGCAAAAGCTGTAAAACTCTGCCTTTCTTTTTCCGCAGGGCGGTGGGCTTCTAAACGCACGGAAGGCTCACGAGTGCGTCTGTGGCTAGCTGAGCAGATGGCAGACAACCTCGTGTTTGAGTTGGCCCCGTAGCTGATGAGGGATTCAGGACTACGGTGGAAGGCTTCTGCAACCCCTTTGACAACAGGTTTGCCGAGGAGCTGGCTGGCTGTTTCGCTTTCCTGCAAGGGCTGACATTGCTAGAACTACCATTAAAAACTACCATTAAATAAAATTAAATTTTATTAATAGAATTATTAGTCACATTTTAAAGATAAGACATTCAGGGATAATTATTAGAATTATTTGGTCACATTTGAGAGATGAAATGAAGTAGTCCTTAGAAACGACCATCTCAAAAAAGTCCCACTACGTATGAATTGCTTTAACTATTTGTACATAATGGGCACTCATCGACTTGTTAAGGGAATTTAGACATATCTCCATTTCCCCCAGTTGATTTCGGTAACAGGCAACTAGTCCTGTTGGCTCCTTCCGTCACAGGCGGCCTGGCTGCATCTTTGGGGGGGACACCCCGTGCACGCCTGCGGGTGCCGCACCTCCGCCTCCTCGGTGGCTTTGCATCTGCTCCTCTCTGAGTGCGCAGGCGTCTCCCAGCAAGCCTGATCTGCCTCGTGTTTGCTCTGCCACTTAAGGGTTGGGCGGGAAGCAAAGTGACCATTTTCCATGGATTACACGGGTTCCCCACTTTCATATCTGAAAGCTGCCTGCATCTTAGGACGGGCAGATGTCACAGCGCACCGGCATGGTCTGTTTGTCCCTGAAGAGCACATTCAATGTTTTACTGCACGTCAACAGTACATGACTAACTAGAACCAATACGGATCTTCTCAGTGACTGTCCGGTCACGGTCTTTGTGCGAGGACTGGAAAAGAGGCCCTAGACAAAGCCTTGGTCGGAGCCCTGCTGCCCTCCCAGGGACTCCAGAGGGGTGAACCCCAGTCTGCGCAGTCTCGCTTACTGAGACACGGACAAGAATCACTGAGATCACATTACAGACACACACAAACTTAAACAGAAATGACGTAAACTGCAGGTACTGTCTTCCTTCAAAACTGCATTCTGATGAGAACACAGAAACCCTTAAGAGACACACATCGTCAGACACATTCAGGGACCAAGCCAGAAACCAGAGTCCAAATCCCTGGCCAGGTGTATTTCTTAATCTCTACACTGTGACGTGGTTAGCCAGGAGATTTGATTATTTTGAGCTTGGTCACTCTAGAACAGGCGTCCTCAAACTACAGCCTGCGGGCCACATGCGGCCTGCCAAGGACATTTATCCGGCCCGCTGGGTGTCTTTGCCCCGTTTGTTTTTTTACTTCAAAATAAAATATGTGCACTGTGCATAGGAATTTGTTCATGTATTTTTTTAAACCATAGTCCGGCCCTCCAATGGGTCTGAGGGAAAGTGAACTGGCCTCCTGTTTAAAAAGTCTGAGGACCCTTGCTCTAAACATCAGATCCCAGAAAGCACCCAGGATGCTCCCCAAAGAGCCCACGAGTAAACGAGGGTATGTGGTACTCCTTGGAGCACCACCGTATAGTGGTTCAGAGTCTGACCTAAAGAGTCCAGGAGAACTGATTCTGAATCCCAACATCCTACTTACAATTTAATCTCTCAGCCTCAGAGTCCTAATGGGTCTCCCTCCACCCAAACACCCCGCAACCCCCAAAATCAAAAATCTAATCTTCACATTCACATGGAACTGCAAAGTGCCTTGAAAATTTAAACAATATTGAAAAAGAAAAACAAAGTTGGAGAGCAAGCCTCCAGATTTTAAAACTCACGACAAAGTTATAGTAGTCAAAACAGTGTGGTACATCTCTCTCCTTTGGAGTGGCTGGTGGTTTGAATTGTTGACTGTGCAATTAGCAGCCCAGTGGGTTACCCAGCCCACAGCATCACCAGGGCTGACAGGTTAGGAGGCTAGAAGTCTAGATTTAGAGGACTAATTCTAGGGAGAAGTTGTTTCTGGCTGTTTTTTGCAGAAGGCTAGGGATGACATCAAAAGCCCAAAATCCACTTTCAGAGTCTTCCCAGTAGATGACGCCTCCAGTGAATGCCTTCTGACCATTGGCCCGAGATGTGACTAGCCTAACCCCCAGGCAGCATGCATTGGAAGGGGGGTTGCTGCCACCTCTTTCCAGCCAGCCTGGGGAGAGGCAGTCTCCCTCGGGGCCTGGCCTGGGTGGAGGTCTCATAGTCTTGCCTTGTGCCCATGGTAGGCCCTGACTGGCTGGGTTGGAAGGCCCAGGGCCAATCTTGTAAGCTCCTTTGTCTAAACAGTGCGTGTGTCCCAATCATGGTCCCGTTGCCGAGTCTGCCGTCCACCTGTAACTGCGATGTCCTGATCTGCTCGTCTTGCTTTTGTGACAGCTTCCGTTGTGTTCTGAGTGGCTGAGTGACTGCAGTGTAATGAGTGTTCTCCTTAAATCATAACAACAAACGAACAGTGTGGTGTGTACACCACATATATATGGTATACACAGAGCATAAGGATAGACACATAACCAAAGGACTAAAGCTTAGAGTCCAAGAAACACAACCATCTATGGCCAATTGATTGTGGACATATCCCACCACTCAAAGGTGGGATAACTGGATATTCACATGCAAAAGAATGAAGCTGAATCATCACTTCTCACTACATGCAAAAATTACCTCAAAAGAGATCAACAACCTAAGTGTAAGAGCTAAAACCATAAGAAATTCAGGAGGAAAGATAGAAGTCTTCAAGACCTTGTTTTAACAATGAATTCTTAGATTTGACACCAAAACCATGATCAATAAATGTCAAAATAGACGAATCGGACTTCATCACAATTAAAAACCTGTACATCAAGGGGCATCATCAAGAACATGCCCTGCATCTAATTCACAATAGGAATTCATTTAACAGAAAGAAAAATGAAGTGGAAAAAAGAAAGTGAAACAACTTATTAAAGAGAAGAAAAATTTTCAAAACTGTATTCTCGCATGAGGGCTTGGTATCCGGAAGATATAAAAGCTCTTAAAACACAACAAGACAACCCAGTTAAAAACAGCAAAGAATCTAAATAGACATTTCTCTAAAGAAGATCGACAAATGGTTAATAAGTACCTGAAATGAAAGATGCTCAACACCATGAGTCATTAGGGAACTGTAAATTAAAAACAAAACCTGGAAAACAAGTCTTGGTAAGGATATGGAAACCTGGACCCCTCGTCCATGCCTTGGGGAGAAAAGGGTCCAGTTGTTGTGGAAGACAATTATAACAAGTCAAACACGGAACTAGCATGTAACCCAGCAAACCACTTCTAGGTGTCTACCCTGGGGAATGGAAAGCAAGGGACACAGAGACTTCACACTCGTGCGCACTGCAGCACTAGTCCCAAGAGCCAAGAGGTAGAACATCCTTGGTGTTCATCACCAGATGGGAAGATCCACAAAATGTGGTCTGTACATAAAATGGAATTGCTGCTCAGACAGGAAGAGAAGGGGAGCCCTGACACAGGGCACAGCATAGATGAAGTAGGGCGCCACTGTGCTGAGTGAAGTCAACCCGCCTGAAAGGTAACCTACCGTATTCCACTTAGATAGCCAGAACAGGCAAATTCAGAGACGCACAGTGGAAGGGAGGGAGAGATGGAGTTACTGTTTCATGGGGACAGAGTGTCTGTTTGAAGTGATGAAAGTTTTCAATAAAGATCTGTCCATAATTTTACAATATTGTAAATATAACGGATGACACTCAATTACACTCTTAAAAAGGTTAAAAGGGAAATTTTTATGTTACACTTTAACGTAATAAAATGTCTTTCATGAAATAGAGACACCCTTTCTCAACGTGGGGAGCAACAGAGTATTCAGAGTTGGAACCATGAAATCTAACCATCTCTGAGAGGAAAAGGATCCCCTATTCCTCAAGACGTTCTCCCATCTCTACAACTGTTGAGCACAGTTCTCCTCTCCACCCTTCCCAAATGAGTGCACTGATATAAAACAGAAGAGCGGCTTTATGAAGATTCACCAAGAACAAAAACAGCATCACCATGGTGACCTGCATGAGCAGCTCACATGCAGCGCTGGATGAGCGCCCACGAGCGAAGTGAGCGGACTCGGCTTCACAGCCAGAGCCAGCCCCGAGGCTCAGCACTACTCCGTACTTACGACCAGTGCCCCCCGAAAGTCACTTTGCTTATGTCTGAACAGGGAGTAACTCCCGTGAGCAATCCTGTAAAAGAGGAAGAGAACGCGAATATAGCACCCCACCTACAGAAAGCAGGAACCCTGGCAGCACAGGGGTTAAGCAATTGGCCACCCCCCAAAAGGGCTAGCTGGGGAAAGCAGACAGTCTGCTTCCAGAAAGGCTGCAGCCTCGGAAACTGGCTGGGCAGTTCTACTCTGACCCATAGGGCCGCTGAGTCAGCGTCCACTCAGAGCAGTGGGCTTGTTTGGGCTCTGTCACACAGAAGGAACTTCGGCCATGCTCCCTTCCGTTTCTGCACGGAGGGAAACCATCATCAGCCTAGCCGATCTCACAAGCTGTGATTCTGAAACAAAGGCCCTGGTTCAGCATCATACTGATAGAAACCAGCTGACCCGCCACATCACCGTCTCGGCAGCACTGCGCGTGCAGCCTGACATACTGTACCTGTGAGTCTCACCTCCCCCCTGAATGGCTAAATGTGTAAGCTAACACAAACCTGTCACAGTCCGCTGGCCGTCACTTAGGTTATTCCACCACTTGTTAATCTAAAACAAAAGGAAAATTGCATATCACCCTATGAGAAACACTTTCGGGCTAGAAAATGAAATTACCTTGTGGGTAAAAGAGGGATTACTAGTCTGCAAAATCCTGGGTCAGCAGCAGACACAGCGCATGTGTGGTAGAGGCAGACGCAGGGCGCCTTCCAGCCACACCGGCCTACGTTCTCTAACAGACCTGCAATCTCTGATGGGCGCTGTGGCCTCAGACATGTGACTTCTAAACTACCGTGCCGGGTCCGTCAGTGATAGCTAGCGGTGCCCTAAGGGTGAGGCACCGTGGGCGGTGCCCTGTGGGAAAAGTGGAGCCCGCCAGCCTCTGCAGGGACAAGGAGGCGGCGGTCTGCTTCCTGAAGATGACCACCACCATAGAAACGCTACCATGATGAGCTGCCACCAACGCCCTGCAGTGGGCGCCGTGGTTGCCATGTTGTCACACAGAGTCTCAGTAACATCAGACAATGAACAGGTACCAAGAATGCCAAGTTCGTCGAGGTTCAATTTGGTTTTATTTTTCACTCCCCCCCCTCTCCCCCCCCCCTCGGCCCCTGGGCCATTTTCTCCTTCTCACTCGCTTCTCTTTGCGCGTAAGCTCAGATTCCTGGATTTAGTTGACCTCGTGCCATGGCTAATATGGCCAGCCAAAAGGTTGTGCTTTCGTGCAGTTTAGACAAGGCCCGAGTCCAGCGCAGTCGCTGTACAACACCACGGGAGGAGGGCACTGACACCCCGTACAAGGCAGGAGAGGCAGCAAGAACTTACTCACACTTGTAGGGTTTGAGTCCAAACGGGGTACAGAGGGTGGACATAATTAAGTTTTACACTTAAAAAGTGGTAACTCCAAATGCATGAGCCAGAAGCATTTGGTTGTAGATACATTCGCAGAGGGAAAACACTCGCCACGTTAACACCATAGGCTACAATTTCTTAGGAGATTCAGATATCCACTCCTATTGTTGTTTGGGTACAATTCACAGTGGTGGTCTTAAGATAAGGTGAACAGACGTCCAGCTTTTGGCAGGAGAGTCCCGATTTTTAACAATTTTTCCCGTGTCCCGCCGCGGCGTTTTTAAAGAAAGAACGCACAACAAGCTAGGGTATACGGTTTTCGGCTGCCATGTGGCTATTTTGCCAGGATCTGAGTTTTACCAATGTGTCCCGCCTTACCAATGTTAAAATCTGGTCACCTTATATTAAGAGCACCACAGCCGCGGCTCAGGTGTGGTCTTTAGCTTCAGAAAGCCCACAGGCCGACATGCACCCCCATGTTCATCGCAGCACAGTGCACAACAGGGAGAAGATGGAAACACCTCGATGCCCACTAGCAGGAGAAAGGATGAGGAGACGTTGGTGCAGCAGACGATGGAATATTATGCCTCGCTGAAAACCAGTGACGAAACCACAAAGTACCCCAGGACCTGGCAGGATTCTGATGAGTGAAATTAGCTAGTCACAAAGGGCAAATACTATGACACCACGGACAGAAAAGACTCGTGCCCGAGGGACTAGACTGGAGGGTGCCCAGGAGAGGGAGGGATGGGCAGAGGAGTGGGCTGACAGGAGCTGACTGAGCTGACAAGGAGGGCAGCAGTCCGTGGGAGGAAGGGGGACGCGCAGGGGGTGGACTACTGGAGGCTTTGGACTGCTGAATGTGAAGTTGATGATCTGAAATATAAACCTCCACCAAATTGAAAATAAAGCATTGTTTGTTTCTAAATAAGGCCCATGGTCCTGTAGCTGACTGTCACTGCTGAACGTGCTGCCTGCAGGGCCCGAGGGCTCTGGGCTTGCCGAGGGGAACCCTCCCCAGGTAAGCTCCCCCTCCCACAGGGCATGAGGCATGCAGTCAGTTCTAAGCACGCACACACCTCTGCTGTGGACAGAGTGGCTGCGGGTGAACTTTAGGACTTCCTCTTCCGCTGTGTCCTCGTCGTTCCTACTGGGCACTCTCGACCTGAGTTACTCTCACTGTCAGATGTGACCCTTTTCTTTCTTTTTTTTTTTTTAATCAGGGGACAGCGCGAATGCAGTCCCCCCACGACCACATATTATGCAGTCAAGTTTCCCACATTTGGGGGAATCACAGGAACCAGCACATCCAGAGTGCGATGGATAAGCCTCGCCCCAGGAAAACCACCTTCGTGATCATGGTAGAGATGTGACCCTTTTCTTATCGGCCAGGGGAGGACCTCTGTTTCCCAGCTGTCCTAGCTGGGGTGCAGCAGCATCAAGCTCTGTCTGCGGTGGAGTTTGCAAGTGGAGAGCTACTGTAGGATTCCCTCGAGAGCTGGCATGTCACAGCGCAGCACATCTCGGGGTCCTGGAAGTCAGTGTGTGTCTGATGACCCTTGCTTGTGGTCGGCTCTTCTCTTAGTCCAATGACTGCTACTTAGAAATGCTCTAAAATGGAAAAGCACTGGCTGTGGCCCAAATGGTCCCAGGACTCCACAAAATGTGTCACTGGGCTATACTGAAACCATCTTATCCTGTTGCTGCTACCACCTTGATCATGGACTCACCTGTCACACCTCCAGAAAGCCTCATTCACGGCTGGGACAGATGCAGCCTGGTAGTCTGGGGCTAACCTTGCCCTTCGCAAAAGTGACCGAATGATGAGTGCACTGCTACGCCGGCACCCAAGCCCACTCGGTCCTCTGCCATTTCCCTTCTCCACCATGGCGGGCAGCACGGGGAGCTAGCGGCCGCCTCACCATATGTGGTCCCCGCCACCGCCTCAACCACGGCCTGCCTCGCAACACCAAAAAGGCACAAGCAACCCCATCTAGTTTTAAAAGTTAAAATTCTGGCAGTACTTTCTACTAAAATTGTTACTTTTTAAAAAGTGTAATAGTAGTATTGAGACTTAGGGTAGGGGGACACGAGAGAAGGGACTCCTCACCCGTCAGGGGCACAAACAAGAACTCCTATGCAGGAGCGAGGCCAAGGGTTTGTTCTGCAACCCTAAGGTTGGGAGGGAGGGAGATGGACAGGCCTGGGGAGGGAGGGTTGAGAGGTACAGAAAGCAAAACTGGCCAGGTGTCCAAGGAGTTCATTATGATACTGTTTACTCACCTTTTGTTATCGCTTTCTATGACATTGAACCAGATTTGGGGGGGGAAACTGGCAAGGGGGGGAAGCCAAGTTACAAAAAAAAAAAAAAAGGTTCAGAACAGTACTTGCAATTGTACTGCAAGTGTAAGCAACTGGATCTTAATTCATCAACAATAGTGGTGTGGCAGGGGCTCCCAGGACGCTCATGTCCCATGTTAGATGTTGTGCTTTGTCTTCATGGGTTTGGATTTTATATTTTCCAACCGATTATTGGTTCAATTTGTTAATTATTTCTTTCATTCTGTCACACACTATGCACACTGCTTGTGCAGTTTATCGCCATACCCAGGAACCAGCCACATACTGCACACGTGTGACAAGAGCCTGCCGCTTTCTGACGGGCCCAGGATGGCGGTTCAGGCCCACTGTCCTGAAAGAAGCCCCGCTCGCGCGGTCGGTCGTTCTCCCTGCAGCGGCACCTCCGTGGTTCTTCGGGCGCGAGCCGCTCCCCCTCCGAAACGGCCCATGCTTCTTGCAGGTGTCTGAGGGAACGGAGAGGACTCTTTCTTTCCTACCCAGAACGCCAACCTAACATCAGGAACAAAGACAGGCTCCCCTGGCCAACAGCAAGTCGCTCGGAAGGGAAAAGTGACGAAAACCAACCCTCTCAACTTCTGTTGCCGCTCTAAGGGGTGAACTGGAGGGTGGTGCGTGGGAAGAGACCAGGGAGGTCACATGGCGATGGCTCAGCAGCGAAAAGGAAGGTGCGATCAAGCATGGAGAAGCCGGGAAGGTCCTGAAATGTGGACTGCGAAGCGGAAAAGGTCTGTTTGAGTCCTGAGTCCCACGATGAAAACCTTCTGGGAAAGGCAAACGACAGAGAACAGACGGTCCAATGGGTTCAGGGCAGGAAGGCAGGGTGGACAGGTGGAGCAGCTACTCACTGCCATCAAGGTGATTCTGACTCACAGTGACCCTGTAGGACAGGGTGAAACTGCCCCTGGGGGTTTCTGAGACGGTCCCTCTTCCGTTATCGGTCTCCTATGGAGTGTCAGGTGGTGTCGAATTAGCAGCCGATGTGTAAGTCAGAACACCCTCAGGGCTCCTACGGCACTGTAGGTCAGCGAACTGTTGTCTCTTTGTACAGCCTTCTTGCACCCTCATTCTCAGGGCGCAGTTAGAAACACTCAAACTGTAGTATTTGGATACGCAAGCAGCACGCCACACCGAGAAGCTCTTTAAAGTCTACGTCATAACCCTGCCCCTCCACATGACGCTGTTTGAGAATGTCACTGTGGTTTTCAGCACTCTAAAAGAACCCAGCAAGAAGGTATCAGTAAAACAACTGCCCCTTAGGCGGCAGCAGGGCTGGGATGCCCACTGCCACCAAGTCCCTTCTGACTAGTAGCAACCCGGTGGGTAGGGCTTCCGAGGCTGTGAATCCTTACGGGAGCAGATACCACCAGAGAGCCTACAGGAGGCCCTATCAACAGACAGCCTCTTCTTTCCCCTGGAGGGGCTGGCATGTCTGAACTGCTGATCAACAGTGCCACCAGGGCAAGGAGCGGGTCCCAGAAGAGAGCCACTTAACAACTCACCCTGGTGACTTCTGGTCAAGTATCACTGTCAAGTACACCACTACCAAATGTAGAAAGCACTTACAAACACTTCCTGGGACCGAATGATGCTAGAGAGCAATGTGAAGTGCCTGGCTTCCCCTCTACTCTACTGGTGCATCAGTGTCTAATGCAGTGTCTAATTCTCCAAAAACGCTTCCAAAAGAATCCGACTTCAAGAACTGTGACCCAAGAGAAAGCCATGTTTATCCTTACCGCCTTTCTGAATTCTCCTTCCTTCTGGGGTCTGACGCTATCCAACCAGTCAGCTTTTAAACCATCAAAATAGCTCTGGACTCTAGATTTCAGTGATTCATATTGCCAGATAGCAGCTGATCCGAATGCACAGCCTGTAAACTAGACAAAATCAGGTCCATTACAAAATATACTTAAAGAGGGAAAGCAGAGCTATCTATACACATGTCCCAGGGCGTGGTTTGTTTTTGTGATTTTTCCAAGCCAACAGAAGAAAACACTTAGCCTGGTGTTGGATGTATACATGGCGTGTGTTTTAACAACGCCTGGTCGTGAGAAGAATATCAACCACTTCCCAAAGTGTCAGTGTCCAACACCCACTGGGCCAGTTCAAAGTTGGGAGGGGTTTCTCATAAAATTCAAAATGCTAACTTAGGGTTACTTTGAATGCTGCACCTAATACAGGACCCTTACATTCCTTCTCTAGAGCAGGGTTCTAATCTCAATTGTAATCAGAGTTCATGATCCTGGCTTCCGCGGCCCTGTTTGGTACCACCATGCTTACTTTACGGCAGCCCTTTAAGGACAAATGACCCTTGAGCACTGTGCCCATAGCAAGGTGGGGAACTTGAAGTGATGTGAGCTCTTACCCCAACAGTAAAACAGAAAGGCTTGATCAGCGTCCTTATAGGAGAGGGAGAAGGATAAAAGACCGCTTCTTCGACAGGAGGAATCAGAGAACTTCTTTTGTATGCTTTACCACTTAGCCCACTGTCTGCTCTTTGAGGCTCAGTCTTCCTGGGTGGTTTCCTGAATCCACATTTTTGCTGAGTAAAAAGGTTAAACCTATGAAGGGGAAGAAGAAAAAAAACCAACTGATTAGAAACAGGGCTGTGTCCCACAAGCATCAACCACAGAGCCCCCCACTTAGTCTGCACCACCCCAGCTCAATTTCTTCTCCCTGGGCAGCCCCAAGAGAGCCAGGACCCCTGGTCCCAGGTGGGAGTCAAGACCAAACAGTCTTGACTGAGCCTTTGTGAAAAGGAGGAGACACAAAGGACAGCCGTGTCTGGGAGAACATTCATCAGCAAATTCATCTGTATCCACAATGCACGCAGAGAGAGTCAAGAGGGAGGCCTGCCATAAACCGCAGAACCCCAGCAATCAGTTTTAATCAGCAGATAGTTTATTTGAAGTTAGGGGGTCAATTTCCAGAAGAAAACAAACATTAAAGGCAAGCCTTATCAACTTGTCTGCCTGTGTGTTGCGTGTTGCTGTGATGCTAGAAGCGATGTATGCCACCAGTATTTCAAATGCCAGCAGGGTCATTCATGGTAGACAGCTTGCAGCAGAACTTCCAGACTAGGAAAAGGATGGGCTATCCACTTCTCCACTTCCGAGGGACTCGCCATTGGAAGCCTTCTGAAGAGCAGAGAACTTGTCAGGCACAGCATTGGAAGACGGGCCCTCGGGTTGGAAGGCACTCAAACCTAAGCTCTTCCCAAAGGGGTAGCTACAGACTCCTTGGGGGAGGGAATCACTGCCACGGAGTCCATTCTGACTCCTGCAGACCCTGCAGAGCAGGACAGAACTGCCCCTGTGGGTTTCCAAGACTGTAGAAGCTCTCGGCTTTCTCCCTCTGAGCAGCGAGTCGTTTCAAACTAACCACACCTTCAGGTGAGCAGCCCAACGCATAACTGCTAAGACAGCAAGGTAGAGTTGACCTTAATGACATGGAAGGAGTAAAAATTTAAGGACCTTCATTTGTTGATGGAGCATGACTCAAAATACTAAGAAACAGCTCCAAGCATCTATTAGTAAATGAAACATGAAATGTATGGCGTATGAATCCAGGCAAATTAGCATTCCTCAATAACGAAACGGAATGCAAAAAGATCAATATCATAAGCATCAGTGAGCTGAAATGGACTGGTCTTGGTCATTTTGAGTCAGATAATCATCCAATTTTCTATGTCAAAAATGACAAATTCAGCAGGCATGGCTTCGCATTCATCATCACAAAGAACATTTCAAGATGTATCTTGAAGCATAATGCTGCCTGTGATAGGAGAATATCTACATGCCTACAAGGAAGTCCAATCAATATAACTATTATTCACATTTAAATGCCAACCACTATTTAAGAAACCTATCAGCTTCTTGTCTGAAATGGATCAAACATGCAATCAAGATGTATTAATAATTATTGGCAATTAGAGTATGCAGGTTGGTGGTATTCTGTGATGCTCACCTTCCCAAGATGATTGCTGAAGACAAATGGGTGCATAAGCAAATGTGGTGAAGAAAGCTGATGGTGCCCAGCTATCAAAAGACATAGCGTCTAGGGTCTTAAAGGCCTGAAGCCAAACAAGCGGTCATCTAGCAGGGAAGCAATAAAAACCCACATGGAAGAAGCACACCAGTCTGTGCGATCACAAGGTGTCAATGGCATCAGGTATGAGGCATCAGAAGACCCAAAACAAGCAATACTGTATATAGATGTGAACAAGGAGGGTCGGAGTGGAAGCCCAAAGCCCATCTGTAGACAGCCCCTCATAGAAGGGCCACAGGAAGGGACAAGTCAACCAGGGTGCAGTCTAGCACCGATAAAACACACAACACTCCTCTGGTTCTTTCATGCTTCTCCCTCCCCCCCCACCCCTGCTGCCCCCCACTATCATGACCTCAGTTTAACTCACAAATCCGGCTTGACCAGAGCATGTGTACTAGTCCAGATAAGAGCTCTCGACACATGGAATCCAGGACAGAGAAACCTCTCAGGACCAGTAATGGGAGTAGCAATACCATGATGGTTGGGGGAAGACTGGGGAGAAAGGGTAAACTGATCACAATGATTGACATATAACAACCCCCCAGGGGGATGAACAAAAGAAACGTGGGTGAAGGCAGACGGTGGAGGGTGTCAGATATGAAAATAATAATAATTTATAATTTACCAAGGGCTCACAAAGGTGGGAGGGTGGAGGAGGGAGGGGAAAAAAGAAGAGCTGATACCAAGGGCTCAAGCAGAAAGAAAATGTAACGATGGCAACATATGTACAAAAGTACTTGATACAATTGAAGTGCGTATTGTTATAAAAGCTGCAAGAGCTCCCAGTAAAACGACTTATATCTAAAAGAGAATGTGTGAGTTGGAAACAAGAGCACCGGGCTGGAAACAGGGTTTTGAGGGCAGACACAAAGCGGGAGGGCGTAAGATGAGTCCTGCAAGACTAGTGACTTCCCCACACAGTTTCAAATGCAGAAGTGGCAACCATGCCGCGGCACCTCACCGCATGGCCTACACAGGAGTCAGATGGATTCCATGTCAGAGAAGCTCAGTATCACTGGCCACAGTAAGACCAAGGGTTGTCTGTGGAGTGGACTAGCAATTGCTCGTATGCAAACTCAAAATGAAGATGAAGAAAATTAAAACAAGTCCATAAGAGCCAACATATGACCTTGAATATTGAGATAGTCCATTAATATGACTCTGGCTAGCCATAATTCCTTACGTGATGTATCATCATTCTGGATTCTATGCCTGTGGCCATCATCCCATTTTGGAGGGCCTTCTCTGGGGCAGAATTAGGGTGGGTGACCTTCGGAGTCCTGACTACATGTTGGGCCGCTAACCTCAAGGTCAGCAGTTTGAAACTGTCAGACACCCCCAGGGCAAGGTTATAGTCTGGGCAACCCAAAGGGGTAGTTCTACTCTGTCCTAGACGGTGACTGTGAGTCAGAATTGGCCCCATGGCAGTGGGTCGGAGTGAGTTGTTGAAGTTTGACCTTAGTAGAAGGTGTGAACCAAGTGATACCCTTTGTTTCCTTTGGGGTATCTTTACTTTACTAGGGGTTGTGGTTTACATCACCCTTTGTTTTCTTTAGTTATAGGCCTCCAACAAATAAAGCACATCGCATCCATCAAAGCCATCCCTTGGTGTGAAGCGCCCTCAGGGTCACAGAGAGAATTCCCGGCACCCCTGGAAGAGCACGTCCAAGATCTCGTTCTGAAGGGCCGAGGCTGCAGGACCAGGTGCACCAGAGACTGTGGCACGGGGCCCTGGGGCCCTGCTCCTCATCTGTGAGACAGAGGGACAGGCGAGCTGCCTTCCTGGCCTGCGAGGACCAAAGCCAGAGACCACGTGGCTGCGAGGCTGAGGGTCAGAGAGAGGCCTGTCGCCGGCTGAGGAGAGGTGGTGCTGTGACCAATGCCCCTCCTTGTTGTTAGCTGATCCTGACTGGTGGTGAGCCATTCACTTTTCTAACAAACCCCCTTTATTTTGAGAATTGTCCGTGAGTTCTGTGTGACCATTGTGCCCCAGCATAGGTGAAGCGGGGTGTGGGCGGAACAGGTGGTGTTGGAACAGGTAAAGAAGGATGGACCGTGGAGACATGTCTGACCCCTGCCTTGTGGCACTAGGGAAGTCAGGGTACATCAGACATGGCTTCTCACGCCGCTTACTGCAAATATAGTCCATCTACATTTAGAGACCATCAGGGCACTGGGCACGAAGGAGAGCTGACGAGCTGTGGGATGACATCAAGACACCAAGACACCGTCTACGAAGAAACCAGACACCAAAGTCACTGTGGCCAAGGTGCTTCTGACTCACTGTGACCCTGTAGGACAGGGCAGAACCACCCCTGTGAGTTTCTGAGACTTGGCGGGAGTAGAAAGCCTGTCTTTCCCCCTCTGAGTGGCTGGTGGTTTCGAAATGCTGACCTTGTGGTTAGCAGCCCAACTCATAATCATCATGCCACCAGGGCTCCTCTGAAGAAAACAAAAGGTCATTAAAAGACAAGAAACAAAGAAAAAACCCAAAGTGGACGCTAGAAGACTCCTAACATTCTTCAGCATGGAGTAGCTATAAACAAACTGGATAAGCGAAGAGGTAGAAGAGATGAACAGAAAATTTCAAACGGCAGCTCACAAAGACAAACGCACACCGGCACCTAATTCACAGGCATCGAGTGTGCGCTGGTCTCCCTCATGCACCGTCAGCTTTTAAAGGCACGGGGTGCTCGGAAACACCATGGCTTTGCTCTGGTGCACTTGGGTCCTCAAAGGACACATCGGTTCTTGCCCTGGGCAGTGCATTATCAGATCTATGACCACGGCTTCTGTGACAACAGGAAAGGCGGCAGAGTATGAGGATGAACTGGGCAAAGACCTGGAGTTAGAAAGTGAGAAGTGATGAACACAGTCAGCATTTCTCAAGCTGAAAGAATCGGGCAGGGGGGCTGGGGGGAGAGGCTTTAAGCTTCAAGTTACAAGACTGATGGATTCTGTGGGTAAAGTACTGAATGATTCATGAAGGGTGCAGTGTAGCAACGATGAAACATACAACTTTCCTCTAGTTCCTAAATGCTTTGCACCCCACCACCCCCAACTATCATGATCCCAATTCTACCTTACAAATCTGGCTAGACGAGAGGATGTACACTGGT